CCCCAAAACCCCAAAACCCCAAAACCCCTTGCATCATCTATCTACATAGTTATTTAATTATGGCAGAGAAATAAAATTTAAAAATATAATGCTATTATATCACAGAGATTATTATTACATTTTAACATCTCCATTTTAATTCAAGTATCTTGTATAATGTCTGATAATTATTCATCTTTTTTTAGTTTTAAACTCTAGCATTTTTTAAATTCGTGTGTCCATCTTTTTTATCATGTACTATTCCATACACTATTTCTCCGTCTCACACTGCAAGTAATAGGAGTTCTTTGATTCACTGAATAAAGCCTTGAGCATCTAGGGTTTGAATTATTATAGCTTCTTTAGATCTTTGCTGAGTTTAACAAAGTTCTGGGCCTTCAGTTTCTCCTGTAATAGCTGCTCATCAATAAAATTGTACTTGTTGGGACTTAGGAACCTTGAGTCTGTACCTAGTGTAAGCTCTTTAGTTTATCCGTTACTCATTATTGGTTTTTCATGAGCTCTGAATGTTTTCCGGTCCTCTTCTTCATACACAGAGCAATTCATCAATATGTTCTTAATGTTTACCACAGCTTGCGATTCATTCACCTTGCTTCTATCATATGACTCGCCTTATGATTTTCTCATCATATTCATAGTATTTTTACTCAAAATTTCCTTAAAAGCTGAATTTTCTGGGGAAGTTTCAAGATCCAAAGACTTTTTGAGGTTCTTAAGCTCATCTTTTTTAGATTAAAGTAGATTTTATCTTGAAGTATTATTCGAAAAATTCATTACTTTCCTCCTAATGCTGGGTAGCTGAGTGACGGTATGATTGACGCTATTATGAATCTTAGGATTTTTTCTCTTTGGAGACTTACTAGCTTAAGGAGAAGGCTATTGACTGTGTGAGTTTTTAGTAAAAGCATCAAGGAGCATTATACTATGATCCACACTAAGAGATTTACCATTCTTTCTATAAGGATTTCGAAGTTTTTTCTATGATGCTTGGGGATCTTATGTCATCTCATCTTGTGATTAGTTTTGCATCAAAGTCTTGTTCTACACTGGTGAGACCTAATATGAATTATTAAATTGTGGCAGTTTTATGATGCTTTGCTAGTTATGAATAGTTGAGTAACTCTTATCATGAGATGTTTAAAAGTTCATGTGGGAATCATTAGTTATCAAGAGCTTATTGTCTATTCTTCCAATCATACTACTACCACCGTCTTTTTGATAATCCTTCAAAACTGTAAAATTATTCTTAGGCCGAACTTGAGTGGGATAGTTTCTTTGATTTGTCGGGCTTTTTTCTATATCATCTAGCATTGATTAGGATTGCTATTTAAGCAAGTACTTTTTTGATGCGCTTTTAAACTTATCTAAAGTACTCATTTTCTTAGGAGCATTTGCTACGTTTTTATTTAGGTATTCCATAGCCATCCTCTTTTGGTATTCTTCGTTTCTCTTTGACAATTCTTGGGTTTCATTCTAAGCTCTTAGTAATCAATCGACGGTTGCTTTTTTCTTAAACAGCAAGAAAGCATTATCATTGTTACAAAAGCGATCAATCTGATATCCCACTGTTTCAGTGAACTGTTTGATCTATATCCCATACTTAGAGCATATTTCCTTGGTCTGCTCCTCAATAATTTTATGCAAGTCCTCATGTAATGGATTTAAGGCTTCGTCTCTTTCCTTTTCCTTTAAGATCTTCTCTTTTTTCTGAAGGACTGATACTTCCAAGTTTGATGGCTCTTCGTTCCTTGCCACCCAAACTTTCAAGTGTTTCTAAAGTAGTTATATGTTTTCCTTGAACTCAATGCTCTGCTCGTGGTAGATGTTGTCGATCACCTCCTAAACTAAAGCATGCAGGGCTGTATATCTGTTCTTCTCATTTAGCTGATTCTTTTCTACTGCCACCAGTTCTTACATTTCTTAGAGGGCACGCATCAAGTCCATATTTTGAGTTTACCTCTTGAACTAAGCTTGGAATTTATGGCGAAGTTCTGTGTTGGGGGCTAAAAATTTACCCTCATTAGGGCTTGACATAATTTATATATAAATATTCTAAATTAATTTTAGTCTGGACTCCAATCTAATCCATATTTTTTTAAACATTCTAAGGGGTTTTGGGGTTTTGGGGTTTTGGGGTTTTGGGG